CCAATTCTTCCCCTCCCTCAATCGGTCCCCAATCCCTAAATCTCCAAACCCCTTATCCCCTAAAGATTGGCTACGCACACGTAACTCGTCTGTTGTTGCGGGTGTCCATGGGCGGCGCTGATTGCTTACCATCAGGTAATCTGTATGCTCGTTTGTCGACCTATAATACAAAAAAAGAAATATAAATCTCCAAAATGTGAGCTCGTCTGGCTTTATTCCGAACAAATAAAAAAGGTTAAAAATAAAAAAGGAGTTTTTTTACCTACCTACATTTTTAAATGAATAACAAAATAATATTACGTTTACATTTTACAATTCTCGTGTGTAGTATTAATAAGACAGTAAATGTTAACGTACAAAAGAAATGTCAGACAAACAAATAAAAATCAAGTAGATATTTTATATTGTTATCCGTAAGAGCCTTCTGGATGATGTCAAGGTCCAATCCGAGGTCTGTTCGTGTAAGAAAAAACTTTTATTGTACGAGTAGTAAAAATGCCAAGAATTCTTAAAAAAAACTTCCTTCTAAAATGAAATACCTACTATATTTTTTGACTATGAAAAGCCCAAAGATCTATAAGAACTGTTTACGGTTTCGATAGCTCAATAGAAATGTAAGTATGTCATGATTAGCATTGTAAAAACATGTCATCATCATCATCATCATCATCATCATCATCAGCCTGTTGTCGTCCACTGCTGGAGATAGGCCTCCCCAATTGCATGCCACTAAGCTCGATGTTTAGCTCTTCTCATCCAACCACTGCCAGCCACCCTGCGGATGTCGTCAGTGACGTCAGTCCACCTAGCTGGAAGGCACCCTACACTACGTTTGCCTAGACGTGGTCTCCACTCTAGAACACATAAAAACGTATATATTGTTTTCATCATCATCAGCCTATAAGTGCCCACTGCTGAGCAAAGGCCTCTTCTCATACGGAGAAGGTTTTGAGCATTAATCACCACGCTTGCTCATTGCGGGTTGGCGATTTCAACCTTATAATTAGAAATTATAAGTCCAGGTTTCCTCACGATGTTTACCTTCACCGTATGTCAGTGGTGTCTATTTAATTATAGAAAGTACATATAACTCGGAAAAAGTCACATTGGTACTTGCCAGGTTTTGAACCCACACCCTCATGCATGAGAAGCGGGCTCCTTAACCTCCGGGCCACCACGACATATATGTATATTGTTTTATGTTTGTATAATTTTAGTGTGAAAACAGATACCTATAGTTTAAGTTGGACCTATAGCAACACACCTGTGAAAATCGCATTAAATTCCATGCAGTCGTTTTTGCGTGATACGGAAGCAAACATACCTACAGGTAAACAGACAAAAAATAAAAAACATTGGCTTCATGTTGGTGTAATAAAGGTCACCCTCATGTTAGTTTTTCTTCAATATCATTTATGTAACGACATCGAAGTGTTACAATTGTATATAAATTATGTATAGATTTTGCTAAGTATTCAAATACATAAAGGCACATGAAATTATGCCTATGTATGGTTAGATCAGCTTTTCCCCCGACATCTCCTATGGGACTGCAATTAATACCAAGCTTATGATTTAGACCTTTCTGTTTATTTATGTATCTTGTATACTATGGCTATAGATTGGTCCGGTTTGAAAGAAAGTCATAGCATTATATTTCAATAAATTCTTACAAGAATCTTGACCTATCCGTCGTTCCATAATGTAAATTTATATATGAAAAAGAACGAGCTAGAAAATCCATTTCCAGGATTCAGAAATCATAATTAGAAAATGACGGAATGTATTACCTAGAATAACTATAACTAATAAAATGATCTAACCAACCCATCGAACATCAATCAATACGATCACTAATAGTTTTCCGATAATTTTTATATCTGAGAAAACCATTCGAGTTGATGACGTAAGGATCAATCAATCATATCTCGGAAATCCTCTTCCGTCTAACATAAATGATTATTTACACTGATATGTTTATTTAATCATTATAAGCTTTTGGTAAAATGTTTGAATACTGAATCATCGTTGACGTTACGTCATCAGAGTTCTTTTTTACTTTATAAGGAGAATCAGTAATCGTGATAATTAGGTTGACATTATTGAACGTTCGTTTACGTTGACATGGTTATTTTTGTGGTGTGACGTTGATATTGAATCGACAAGAACAGGTTTTGTCAGAAGTAGTTGATATTTTCTTAGAAACTCGATTGATGTGGTCACTGGTCACGTCAAATTGTAATTTGGTTTTCTTTGGAACCATTGTAGATTATTGTCTTTGTTTTTATATCGTGAAGATGATGATGTTTACAAGGCGCGTTGAATGCATTAAGTGTTACCTACAAATCGTCAGTGTGCCATTTTTTGTTAATTTTCCCAACAACCGTACATATACAAGTAAACGCTTCTGATCCAGGGGTTTTTTTGAAGGTAAAATAAAGTTTTTTCATAATTAATGAATCAAGCAAATAAATTGGTTTAATACCTTCTTAACTTGAAATGCTTATATCTGACTGTATATAAAATGAATCCAAACTTACAAGGAACGAGGCAGCACGGGAGGACAGTTGACTGGACAGGAGTATATAATCGAAAAAAAATAAGTACATTTCGATTGTGGTGTTCTACTAAGAAAACAAATGAACAATCACTGAGTAGGTGGGTACCCGAGCGAGGAATGGGCGAGCCGCTAGTGTACAATAATTTGAAAGAAAGAAAGAAAGAAAAAACATTTATTGACACAACACAAGACATACATATAATAATAAAAAGTACAAAAAAGAAAAAACAGATAGTAGGTTGTGCCAAATAGCATCCAGTTCAGCATTATGCCAGACAGCTAGTGCTAATTTGTCTTATATATTTATCGGACCATGTAGTTACAAAAGGTATTTCGATGTTCCTTTTTTACATAGTGTACAAATTCATATATAAGTATGTAAGATAGTTTAAGTTATGTAGAAAGGTCATGTAAAAGTAATTTGTGCCTGTTTGTTCAAAGGAGCAATGTTACTTGCTTGCAAATAGAGGAATCGGAAGATGTAGGATAGAGTGCCCTTTGTATTTTTTAAAGTTATATGCTTTTTTTTCAGCTGACCTGTTACAAGGTTTTGTCACCATATTGTGTTGATAGATGTTGAATCAATTAAAATCAGATATAACCTGTAAAAGTTTTTCACCTTTGGATGATGAAAAAACGTCAAAGTAGTATAAAATGGCTATTACATACTTAACAAGAGCCCCTAGCGTGGTTTGAAACAAGGTGGGCCACCTCGTCACCTAAATAGCTTATTCTATGTATCGTATTGAGTGGAAAAATTGATCAAATAATTTTCCTTTGCTCCGGTTGGCGCAAAAAAGAGTGTCAGTCTCTTACTAAGTAATCTACTTGACAAGTAGAAGACAAGACATCTCAAATTCTTAGTTTTGCAATGAGCGTGCATTCACACTCATTTGCATTATTAACTACAACAAAAAAGTATTCACATTGTTTCATTTAATTCAGTTTTTTAATCTGAATTCAAATAAGGCTCAAAGTGCAGTGCAGTATAACACTACATAGTATCTACCGGCTGAAATACATTGACGTCATCGTAATATTAGGCGTTCGTACTACAGAAGCATGCGGGTCAATGACCCGCATCTCTGTGTACAATATTAACATGTGTGATAAGATAGACGTGATGTGCCTAAATATAATGACAAATGAATTTTCTGTATAATGACTTACTCACTTTGTGAATAAACATAAAATGCTCTACTACTTTCAAGTCACAGCGGGGCTCTTACTCATAGGCAGTGTGCGCGTTGCGGCAATGTCAACAAACAAGCCGTCACTTTCACAAAATTTTGAATTGCCCACGACATTTGTGCAAATAGGTTCTGGCTTCATAAAAGTCACATCAGTACTTTCCTAGTTTATCTGTTTCATGAACAGCATTTGCTAAAACGGCGCAGCGTTGTTTCACCATATGAGTGGTTATTGAAGGCCCAATCCTTCTTCCATTCTTCACCAATAGCTAAATACTCAAAGCCCCCTCTAATAGGCCTGCTTTGAAACTTCTTTAGTATTGTTGGTTCCCATGGGTATGGGTGGCGCAGATTGCTTACTGTCGTAATCCGTTTGATCATTTGCCACCATATCAAATACAACATTGTCGTTCCCGCTTGGAACAATGGTTCTTGTGAGTTTTGAGATTTAGAAATAGAAGTTCCAGGTCTGAGTGGCATGTTAAAGTATGTGTTTATAAAATACACCTACGATGCACAAGAAAAGTTTAATAAAAGAACTAGACAACGTGGCATTGGTTCTAAAATCAGAAAGTTGAAACCATGAAATCTAAAAATACCCAAGTTACAATTTTACTGAGTTATGGTTAGACTCGGTGAGTTGTAAACGTTTGTCGGAAGTATGTGTTTGTAACTAAAGATATAATATTGACATCAGCACCGTACGTGTCATACTAATTTGGTATCTGACTGTATTAAAAATACGTAAATTATATCGACTTTTCAATGCATTAAAATAATATAAAAGAATCACGCTTTTAGTTATGGGATTTACACGGTATAATCGTATTTTAATAGTATTAATTTTATTTTTAAATAATATGTATATTATTTTCGCGTTTTTGACTCGTTTTCACAACATATATATGTATAATCTCGTAGAAAATTCAAAAATAACATTTCCATGGTTTTAAGATTCGAAAAAAGGTAAGACAGTTTTATACAAAACTCCTGACAAATACGTCACCAGAACAGTAGGCCTACCATGAAGTGTTAAAGCGTGTATCTTCTGGGCGAGAGCGAAGGATAAACATTTATAAATGGTGTATAGCTCCATCCATCTTTCTAAAGTAAAAGATTTGGAAGGTAAGGAACTGAAAACCGACTTCAAGAATTAAAAAAAACTTCAAAATAATTAAAATAAAATACAAAAATGAATACAAGTTTATTCAATTAACAATGCGCACTAAGATACTGCAAAGTTAAACATAGGTGGCCAAATAATGAACGTAACACAATTTTTGCTTTAGCATGTTAATAGAAAATTAGTAAGAATTGTTTTTGGAAATATAATATAATATTTTCCATATATTTTAAGTTAGATTACAAATGACATGCGCGAATAGCTTGATACTGTACTTGTTGAACAGCTGTGCCATTTATCAGAAGAACATAGCACTAACGATTCTGAATATATTTACACACACCTCACACTGCACAAAAGCATTTCACTTTATTGAACAACAAGTCTCTAGATTTCATTTTCATCACCATATCCGTTAAAATTTTCCGTGTAACACATCATTGCTCCTTTTCTTCCTTTCAAGTCATCAACATTAGACATGAACTTAGATAATTTCCTCTGTGGCTCGACCTCCTTCGCAAACACGTAAGCAGCGTTCGGTTCTGTCTCAGTTCTAGAAGATTCTTTAGTGATATAGTGGAACATTATGAAGTAGTTATCGTTTATTATTCTTACAACTGCATGGTCATTGACTTCCTCGTTTCCACACTTGCATCCAATCTCTAGACTTGGCATCACTTCTTCGGGAGTGTCCACAACTCTCATCGGCATGGAGTATCGCTCCAACAATTCTCCTTTCTCCGAGGTCATCGACACTTGTACGGAGTTTGCTCTTCTTCCATCAGCGTATGAACATTTCACGTTCACAGGACTCTTAGTGAACGAGAAACGAATGCAGGCAGGTTGGTGTGAGGCCATTGGGTAAAATGCTACCATTGTCCAGTCTCCATAGATATTTCGTATGTTTGCGTGACTAACACCCAAGAAAGTGAAAAGAAGGATTATTTTCCACATCTTGTATTATTATTTTACACAGAAATTGATGTATGTGCTCGTGCTCCAGAGTAAAGAATGTGTACTGACAGTATTGGGATGTGACCTTTGACCGTTACTGATAATTGTGTATTAAATAGAACGCGTGGGAGTGAGATAGCTATGTTTGTTAGCTGTTATGCGTTGCATGCGTTCACAATGGCGTGGTTTTATGTAGAGCATTTTGAAACGCCGGTCAATGATGTCCTGTGTTTCTAAACTTAAACTTTATTTTTATTATTTTTAAGAGAACAAACACGTACTTGGCTAAAATGTGGTAGATATATTGGATGACCATAATGATTGTGTCGTTAAACACTTTAAGCCTTTTTTGTGAGGGGAAATTAATCAAATTGCTTCTCTCGCTCAGGCCAGAGGGAGTGACAGTATCTTACTGACTAAAACCCTCCTGTTTCTTCTCCTGCTTCAGGCCGAGGCAGTATTTTATTCTACTAGCCCCGCAACCTGCATATCGGCTTTGTAGGATTATGGCCATGGACCATGGCCTCAATGAGCGAATAGACCACCACAGGCTGACACGCGCAAGGCGCGCGCGAGTTGGTTCATCCCTCTTTTGTTGTTCTCTTCTCTGCTTGTTCTCCCCTTTGGTTAATATAAATTATTTTAAGCAAATTCAAAGCTAGAATTTAATGCACTTTAAGAACCTTACTGAAAAACAAGGCCAGCAGGCAAATTTATCCGAAATGAAGAAAAATCAAGATTAAATGTGGATCACACTATAAAATTATATTTTTGTCCACTGACATATTAATAAACATTACTCCATTTGATAGAAAACAGTGTGAACGCATCTTTACACTGCTAGGATAAAGCATTACTTCATAGGAAGTAGTAAATTTTGAATATAAACGTATAGCGGAGTTTATTTGTCAAGTAATTTTATACTTTAATGCTTTGCCCTAAGTGGCGTTTTAGTTCACTTACACCTACCATACACGTATTCTAAATGTAAGACTTACTTACGTTCTTAATTCAAAATCTTGTTACGGCATCTTACCGGCTCGTAGGTTGCAATCTCAAGACAGAAAAAAAAACAATCAGCCGAACATAGTACCTCCTCCTTTTTTGAAGTCGGTAAAAAATATTCTAAAGGAACAAAATAAGTGGGTAAGCACAAAGGAACAATTTAATACTATATTCATGGCTATAAATAAAACAACATTTTCGATAACATTAAACAATTTCATAAACATCTTTGTGTATATCAAACTTTATTTGGAGTACTGTTTCCATGATAATTTTCCTTGACACACATCAAGCCACCTCTCCGCCGTTTCAAATCTTCAATGCTCATCATAGCTTGAAGTAATTCACTCTCTGATACCAGGTTCTTCACGAAAAGGAAGGCAGCATTCTGTTCTACCTCAGCATTAGAAGTTTCTATAAAAGGCTCATTGTCATGGTACATTATGAAGTAGTTATCATTCACCAACCTTAAAACCACATGACCTCGAGTTTCCTGATCTCCATATGTGCATGTCATGTTTAGAGCCGGCATCACTTCAGCAGGAGTTTCGACAATCATCACTGGCAACGGGGAATTCTGAATGACCTGACCCTTATCCGTCATTATCGACATTTGAATCAGAGTAGCGTTATTACCATCAGCGTAAGTACACTGCACATTGTCAGAAGTAGGGGAAAACGAATACTGTATGCAGACTGGAGCATAAGTCGAGACAGGGTAGAAAGCGGCCTGGTACCAATTGCCGTAGAAATTTTCTAACTTCGTCGCTTGAGCAATGATGACAAAATACAGACTGATAAATTTCCACATTTTTGCACTTTACCACTTGTATCTTTGAGTCTAACACTTATACTGGTTAAATGTTAGGACGCCTGCGTTTATATTTAGATCGCACGCGACTGCAGTAATCGCAGTGGACCTCTGATGCGTTGATCTGTTGTATATTGTAGATATAACATTTCTTAAGGTCGAGAAACGGCTCTGTACTTTATAAATAATATGGAGTATGTTCATGACAATATGTAAGAGAATAAACCTTCACGAAAATCCTGAATCTATAAACTATTTAGAGATTGAATTTGTTCACTGAATAGCAATATTATGAACTTGGTAAACACTATACCCGCTCTTATTTTACCGAATAAAACAATATGAATTAGAATTTCACCTAATAGATCATGGGGGTAAAAGTGCAGCTACAGAGCAAGAGACCTTAGACCTCATTGGGATGTATTCAAGATTAATAAGTCCATGATCTGAAATATAAAGTATGCCTATGATACTATACCACTTGAAAATACCAATATATAATTTAATGTTAAAGAATAATCCAATTACTTCCCTCGTCCTGGGCGAGGCGAGAAGTTGTCAGACTCTAACTGACTAAAACCCAGTCGTTCCTTCTTCTTCTCTGAGCCGGGCTGCAGCGCATCATCGCGCTTGCCTCATCCGTAGATAACAAAACATTTCAATAGGCATCATTATAAGGCAATAACAAAAAACCAACCTCAAAAACAAAATAAATCTAAAAACTAAAAAGCAAAAAAATACTATGATTATTTATGTTAATGTACACACTTTATCAGTGAGTGGTCAAGCTATGAATGATAATAGTTATTTTTCATTTTTTAGTTTTTAGGTTTATTTCCTTTTGTTAAGTTGGTCGCATTTTTAATAGATTTTTTTATTTTATTTCAATACACAGCTATACAAATCCTTTGTATTATTAATTACAACAAACATTGATGAAAGTGCTCATCAATACAGTTTAATCAAGCCCAAACACAAGGATATTGCTGCAAACCGTCGAAAAGTTCTCTCGACTCGACGACGACTTTCGGCTCCACCATCAGGTCAACTCCAGACCTTTAAAAAAAGAATGATCAAAATCTAACTGATTTTAGCATTTATAAGCAACGAAGTTAGGTAAACAAATATCCTACAAATATTATAAATGTTAAAGATTGTGAGAATATAGGGATGTATGTAAGCTATTCTTTCACGCAATAACAGCTGGTTAAAATTCGGTATGTAAGTAGGTGATGCACTGGATTAACACATAGTTGCTTTTCATCAGCATACCACACGAGCGAAGCCGCGGGCAGAAGCTAGTAATACATATAAACGGTTGACTTAAGAAACCTCATTTTAGGAAGTCGGTTTCAAAATAAGTGTAACAGTTAATCTGTGAACCTTGCGGACGTGAAAGAATAGCTAACATACCTTGAATAACTCCAACCAGAATTGTTTTATTTCTATAAAACCTAATAATATTCCGAAATCAACAAAACATCGCTCCAAAAATCCCAGGTAGATTTTGCAAACTTGATTTTTGCGAAACCTTGAATTGTTTTGATGGTCATATGATGGTTCAAGGGTTGGTCGTCATATGAGAATATTATCTTAATGTATTTGTCAACACAATGTCGCCTTGTTTTGCATGTGACACGACCTCGTCTACCAATAAATAGTATCAAGGCAGACGTTCCTCTATCTTGTGGCCTTAGGTCAAGTTAGCGCTAGAACAATTGATTAACTAGCTGCTAGCTCTGATAGCGTTTGTGTTAGTACTATATTGTTGGATAATAACTATACCTATAACTATATATTGTTTCTTGCCTTCAAAGAGGTAAATAGGAGTGAATATACTGATATTATTGTTTATTAGCACGTTACCTAACTAGAGAAATCCCCTGAAATGACCTTGAATTAAGGCCAGAGCAACTTTTTAAAGAAACTTAATTTTAGTTAGGTGTCCGTATGATATTATTCTACAATAAGTATTAGCAAAGTTGTGACAAATTCAAAATTGAAAAACTCAGGGTTACTTTGCTTTACCTGATAAAAAAAGCCTAATCCAAGTCTTGGTGAATGATGTGGGTTCTGCAATTCACTCGGGAATGTTATATCTTTTTTTATTTTAAAACTATATTTTTTCACTTACATCATCAGCCTGTAAGGTGGCCACTACTGAGCACAGGCCTCTTTTCACACGGAGAAGGTTTGAGCATTAATCACCATGATTGACCAAGACGGATTGGCGATTCCAAACTTGTAATTGAAAATTATAAGTCCGAGTTAACTCGCTTTGTTTTCGGGTGTGTGGTGTATGGGTTGTCTTAATGAACTTAGAAAGGAGTTATGACTCAGTAAAGGTTACATTGGTACTTGGTAGGTTTCGAACCACCCAATACCAAATGAGTTAAGAGTGCGTTGCCGGCCTTTTAGGAATAAGGGTTTCAGATATTTAAGGACTGGGTTGATATGGGGGAGGTGGAGGGATTAAACGTTTGCCCAGATGCTTTCTCCGCTCCAGAACAGATCTACTCCAAAGGTCCTCGGTTCATCGACAAAAGTGGCCTGCCCTGTCGTAATTGAACTTAGTTTATCATGAGCTAAACGCGTGACAGTGATAATAATTGCACTTTGATAACAAAAGTTTAAACAAAATGTTGCTAAAGTTTACATAACAAGTTCATTATCTGTACATTAGTGTGTGATAATGGTTGAAGTCGAGTGGTCGTTAACGTGATTCAAGCTAGGGACTCGGCTTTGATTTCAGAGCCAAGTATTGAGACTGAAATTGTTTAAGAAAAATAAGTTGAATTTTATTCAATACTATCTCCAAATGTTAGGGTATGGATTCTCTAGTGAAATTAGAGTTTTACAGTTTCATGTATTATAAATACTTACTTTGGAGATTTTCATATATTATTTATTATGTTTTCGGCTTACTCACGTAATAATTTGACGTGATACTCGACTAGTTTCAAGCCATGCTAGAGGCCCATATTCATGAGCAGCATTCCGCGACACGCGACTCGGCGACTTGGCTCTTCATATATTTATGTAGGTACATTCAGGCAGGTGCATATCGCTAAATGCAGTGATTAAAACCAGTATAAAATGATCGTTACATGTTTTATGATATGTAAACGTGCAGACTGGCCACCTAATACCAGAGGAGTTACAAGTGAATCGGCGGCCTTTTGCGATTTGGTTACGGGAAGGTACGGGATGGAGAGGAGGAAGGATTAAGTGTCCGGTAAAGTTATTCACAAGCCAACTGGGCAAGCGTTGTTTCACGCTGGTTTTCTATGATGCCATGATCCGATCATGATATCTATGGTGGGGTCGAGCCGGTCCATTTGTGTCGAAGCATGAATTCCCTACACCTATAAAGTTCAATACGTATATGAGACCATAATGAACTGAGCTATATAGCGATATGTAGCTGGCTGCAAATGTATCTTAATTTATTTATACTTTTGAGGATTAATAAGCCTGGTGTTAAGTACAAATAACTTAATAATATGGAAAACCGTTTCTTTTTTGTCCAATCATACGATAGCATAGTGTGAAATAATTTTCAGTACCTAACTTAGTTTTTTTTTTTATTTTCAAAACGATATCTGAATAATAACTTGTTTTGTGTATGTGATATGACTGTTGACAGTGATAAAGAATGAGTAAGTTTCAAATAAAAAACAAAATTTGAAAAATTTATATTATAATCATATTGGGTAACAAAAATAGTCTCAATTTCTTTTTAAATATCAGCTTTATTGATTTGTTACCACAATAAATATAATTTATTTTTTCTTTTAATCACTAAAGTCCGTAATAAGTTACGAAGATTTAAATATTTTTCCCTGTAAATAATAAATTTAAACCTTATTCTTGTCATATCCTCCATAATTCTCCGTGCCGCACATTTGAGCACCACTTCTTCCTTTCAATTCTTCGATACTGAGCATTACTTTCGCCAGGTCTTCTGAAGACACCACATTCCTTCCGAAGAGATACGCTTGATTAGGTTCCGTCTCCGATTGAGTATGACTCATGGAATCAGGTATTGGCGTGTATAGGATAAAGTAATCCTTGTTTATAATCCTGACCACACCGCTTTCACGGATATTTGTATCACCACACTTGCAGGTCAAGTTCAAACCTGGCATTACCTCTGCTGGACTGTCCACGACAAGCATTGCCATCGGACCTTGATGGACAAGTTCTCCTGCTTCAGATATCATGCTAACTTTAACTAATGTAGCGTTACTTCCATCGGAGTAGGTGCAATGAGGACTGTCTGGAATACCAGCGAAATCGAAATGTATGCAAACAGGAATGTAGCCTGTGATTGGGTAGAATGCTGCTTGGATCCAGTTCCCGTAGATATCCTTAATGTCAGCCGCTTGAGCGACGATGAGAAAGGCCGACAGTGTCACTATCTTCCACATGATTAGTACCGTTTTCGAGTTCAGTTTCACTTTACACTGATAGAGAGTTGCGATGAATGCGCTTATATTTGTACCGCTCTCGGCTGAACCCGTTTCTGATAAATCGTGTTACATGTAAATATTATCTTGTTGTTCTGTTGTTGACTCACCTAAGTTCGAGGAAACTTTTGAATCAAATAAACAAAAATAAGGTTCCTGTTCTGTTTTTTTTTTTTATATTCTTAAGCAAAATAAGAATACGCCAATTGTTATTCCCCATTTTGATGGGGATTTTTAATTTTGACTTAAAGTAGGTATATAGACAGTACTCTTTTGTTTTTAAGTTTCATAAATTTATGGATAACATTTTTTATTCTATTTATTTTTAGTACTTGCAGCAGCAGTTATAGTGTTTGGACCTAAATATTTGCTTATTTGGGATTTATTTGTATGCAAATCGAAATGTCATTGAACTCGAAACCGTTATTTGAAAGTGTTCTAAAAATCTAGATCATTCAATTTAATTTAAATTCAGAACATTCGTTTTATTTAAGTTCTTAAGTTAAGAATAATTGATGTGAAGCTTCAACCTTCAAAGACATAAGTATCCAGTTTAAATAAACATTATTAATCTACGTTCTATACTTTGAGGCCTTTATAATGAGTCCAAACATAATACTTACCTCAGCAGGAAATCGGTGAGGAGCTGGATTCAACAGATTCGAGGTGGTAGAAAAAGTTGGGATAATCATCAACTCCGAATAATCCCGAAAAATGTACTTTACTATATGATACATACGCTACTCACTGATCTACATAAGGTTCAAGTAATGAACCTGCCGCCAGTCAATTGTAATATAGAAAAATTGCTGTTTTCCGAATTATCTGAAGTTTGCATTTATCCTAATTTGAGAGGGCATGGCATGAAGGGAACGCTGTGAATGTGACCAGACAATTATAAATTATATAATTGATCCTATTAAAACGATGGAAGTTCCATACATTTATCGCAGCCAAAGAGTGGAAGGAATTGAGAGCTTTTTTTTAATCAAGATGATGAAACATTTCACACAAATATGCCTAAAAAGTCGGACCCGGACTAGAGGAGATACAGGCAAGTTGCCGGGGTTACCTTGGTCATACGGTAGAGATTTGGCCATAAAACAAATATAATGAATATATACCTATATTTTGAACATTTCAAAATATAATATTAAATGTTATATTATAATTATTATATTTTATAAAATAAAACAAGAAGTGAATACCGATAAAAAAATAATAACAAGATAACATTTTTCAAGTCTTATATTTAGTAATCAGCACAAAAACAATTAGTGTCCAGAACGAAATTGTTCGTAAATTTCTTTGTTACATAACAAAGTCCCATTTTTTCCTTTTAGTGTCTCAATCTGAGCTATATCTAGTTCTAACTGTGCAGCAGTTGGCACTTCTCTTGCCATCAAAAATAGAATGGTTCCAAACCTCTTAGTTATAATGTAAGTTAGTTCATAATTTTCATTCACAACCCAAATAACGCCACGATCATCAAATTCTTTATCTTCACGTTTGCAAGTAACATTCATGTATGCCTCCAAATCGTTGCTGTTCTCCACAACAGATAAAGGTACCGACATTACTCCTGGATTGCCAGCAAAATGCAGTCTGCTATGACGTTCGAGAATCCTAAAAACCACGTTGGTAGCATTATTGCCATCAGAACAAGCAGCTTGGAGATCCCTTCGGTCCCTTGATAGAGACAAGGTCACGCAGATAGTTGTCGGAATGATATTATTAGGATACGCCATGATTAAAGTGTGATTGCCATAAATATCACTAACGCTGACTCCATCCACAATACTCAGAAATGCTGATAATATAATTATTTTCCACATTTTGCTCACAAAACACTTCGTGGTAACGGCTTGTACGGTTTCTCCACAGTATGACACTAACAGAATTATCAGAACTGGCTATTTGAGACCTCTTCAGTGCTAACCTTTGACTTCTGTGATAACGATGTTGCGATATTACTTCCAAAAGTTATTTAAAAAAAAGTGACATTAAAAACTTAAACATAATTAAAAAGAAAACAATTGCATTTTTAGTTTCTAGTCATAAGGGATAGGTCGTTGTGGCCCGGAGGTTATGGAGCTCGCTTCTCATGCATGAGGGTGTGATTTCGAAACCTAGCAAGTACCTATGTGACTTTTTCCGAGTTATGTGACTGCACGTTTGGTGCGGTGGCTGCCGTGCAACGTGTCGCGGGTTCGATTCCCGCACGGAACAACTCCTTGTAGGATCCACAAATTGTTGTTCCGGGTCGGTCTGGGTGTCATGTGTATGTCAAATTGTATGTTTGTAACCGCACCCACGACACAGGACAAAATCCTAATGTAGGGAAACGTTATAAAAATAAAGCAAAAAAAAATGTACTTTCTACGATTATTTAGATATCACAGGTTTGAAACCGCCAACCCGCATTGAGCTAGCGTGTTGATTATGCTCAAACTTTCTCCGTATGGGAAGAGGCCTTTGCTTAGCAGTGGGGGCATAGGCTGATGATGATGAAAAGGGATAGGTCTATCGGTATCTTCATCTGTGTATACAATAAATCATCAATCTTTGTCATGAAATGTATTGGATTACGTTCTATTATTGAGAACTATTACATTTATAATATTATCTATTTTTTAGTAAAAAAAGTTAATAAGCCTTGTTTGTAATTTTTTTTTATAAAATACGTTCCCCTCGCTTGGATTTTCTCCTGGGCCTTGGGTACACAAACGCACAATTTTATATACGGATCACACACGGAGTAACCTCGGCTCCACAAATAATTTGTAAATCACACAAAGAGTTGTACCGTGCGAGAGTCAAACCTTCGATACGTTGCAAGGGATACGGGTAGCCGAGCCACAGTGCCAACAGTGATATCTAAATGAGTCCTATGTTCTGTGAAAGATCTTCAAGCGACAGTAATTAAAGATTACCCTTTTTGGAAAACACTAGTTAATCTCGCGCGGCTTCACCTGCTGCTCCATTTTATCGTAGCGTGATGTTTTATAGCTTATAGCACTCAAGAACATTGTAGCTATCTATCAGTGAAAGAACAAAAACTTTTTTTACTTTTTATTTTTTATAACGCTACTTTAGGATGTTTTCCTATGTCGTAGGTGCAATTATAAACATACACATTACACCTAAAACAGAATTTGGAAATTATACAAAGAGTTTCATAAAACAGGAGTCACAATCGCGACACGTTGCACCGCAACAGGTACCTATCCCGGCGATCACGTTAACATGACAGATAGTATTAATATGCTTCTATAATACATAGAAAAAATACCATCATTAATATTAAATAGTTTTATTTTTTTAATTTCAGGATTTACGACAAATTTTAAATTATTTACAACTTTTTCCTACACTCATTACCTACACTTTGGAATAAACATATAACCTCTGGCAGACACAAATATTGAAATAAAAATATTTTATTTCTAGTGTCTTTTTGGTGTAATTGAAAAGGGTCAGATTTTTTCTTTTCAGGGGAAAATCAAGTGCTTTAGAGCCGTGCTTTCGGCACGAACGGTAAGGCTCGACTGGAGTGATAGCAGTGTCTCACAGAAAACCGGCGTGAAACATCGTTTCCCCGTGTTAGTGAAGTTACCGTAGATCCAATCTTTACCCTCCCCCAATCCTACTGGGGCGAGAGGGAGTGTTAGTAACTAAACACAACCCCGTTTCTCCTCCAGCATCAGACAAACCCCGCCTGAAATGGTTTGACTTGGATTTTTATAAGCATTCGGAAATATTTTTCGTTAAAAGGTTTTTGATAAAGTGTTTTAATGTTCTCTACATCTAGAGCTGAAAGCCAGGAGTCGGACAACGCGATAAAACCTGGACTTGTAATTTCGAATTAGAAGTTTGAAATCACCAATCCGCTTTGTGGAAGTTTGATGATTAATGCTCAAACTTTCTCCATGTGAGCAAAGGCCTCTTGCCTTTGCTGAGCAGTAGGCACTTCAATAAGTCATCATCATCATCATCATCTGCTAATGCTGATGATAAAATTTAGGAATTGGGGATAGAAGGGAAGTATCAATGTTTAACGGTGGTTTTCTGTGAGGCCGTACACCAATCCAACCTAGCTGGCCCCTTTGTGTTCGACACATTATATAGTATAACTTTCCCATTAGTAGAAATTACGTGTATTTAATAAACTAGTATGCATAGTAACTATTCAGTTAATCGGTGTCTGTAATTAATCTTTTTACTTTCATAACAATTAATTTAAATCCATTCATTGATTTGGTTTATACTTTCAAAAAACGAACGTCACTGATGGAAATCTCAAATTCGGTATGTTGATATCACGGAGTATAAAGGAGCACTAAGACCCGATATTAAAAAAAATCGTTGATATTTTCTATGTAAAACGAAATGTAGGAGCCCAGCAGTGAGTGGGTCAAACTGCGGGACAGTAGCTAGTAAAAAGTAGTAAAAACTATAGACAAAACGAATAAAATATTTAGAGAAGAGTAAAGTAAAATAAAAAGTCTGAAATGTGATTATAGATGATATTTATTCAGTAAATAACCCACAGATGTCACCTTTCACTTTCGCTTTAAAACCTATTTATGACTACTTTGAGAAGAAACACTGAAACCTACTGTTAGTTCAATCTAATTAAAATTAATAAGACAATATTTAACATTTTAAAGCGTACTTTTGCATAATAACTATAATACAAAAGAATAAACAAATTGGTATATAACAAATTATGTGACTGAGACTTCAAAACAAAATAAAAGGAATACAGAATTAATATTAAAGAGACATAGTGGGATAACTGAACAATACAATGGAAAATACAAAAAAAAAAATACCTATCACTCAAAAACAATTAGTTTCCAGAAAGGAACTCCTGGTAAATTTCCTGGTTACAGATGACAGCGCCAACTTTACCTTTAAGAACGTCAATCTTTGCGACATCTTGCTCTAACTGGGCGGCAGTTGGTAATTGTCTTCCAATCAAATACATGATGCGTCCATATTGGCTAGTCTCAGCCTCAGCTATTTTGTAATTGTCGTTCACAGCCCAAAAAGCGGCACGGTCCTTGATCTCTTCACCATCACGTGTGCATGTAGCCTTCAAGTTTTCTTCCAGATCGTTGCTACTGTCCACAACAGACAGAGGTAGGGAGAAGAATACTGGTTGGTCCTGGGGCTTAATTCCGTTGTAACGTTCGAAGGTCTGGAAGTTCACGCTGTATACAGTCTTGCCATCGGTACAAGAGCCCTGTTTGTTGGACTGGTTCTCTGACAGAGAAAAACGCACGCAAGCATTTGTTCCGTTATTCAAAGTTGGGAACACCATCAATGCCGTGTAGTTGCCGTTAACATCATTGATGCTAGCTCCTTGGGCAATGCCCAGAAATACTGACAATACAATGAATTTCCACATTTTATTCACAGAGAACTTTGTGTTAACGTCTGGTTGGGTTTCACCACAATTGACACCAACAACACATCAGGGCTTGCTATTTAAGGCGTTTCGATTGTTGACCTTTGGCTTTTTGTGTTGATAATTTGCGTGATTAGTTTCAAATCATGTTTGTTAAAAAGTTTTCGTAGTAATAAAGGGTAACTATTCTGTTCAAGGCATCTGACCTTTTATCAATCCGTTTTCGAGTCTATTTTGTGTCATTGGAAAAAACGTCTCAAATGCTTTTACTTATATTTTTTATTACTTTAGATAAGAAATAGGTTTTTTTTATTAAATAATTATTATAATAAAATATTTCATATGTTATTAATTTAATACTAAACGTATGTTAAACTAGATAATAATGTAACATTCGAACAAAGTGTAGTACCAATAGTTATGATGAATTTAGAATAACCTTTAGTTGCCATCAAAAGAATATCTAAGGAGGAAAATGTCTTTTCACCTTAGAGGATAAATAAAATCCACACAGAAATAATGGCGCAAATTGGAACCAGGCTGCGTTGGACGAACGCCGAATTTCAAACAACGCAGCAATTTATTTTTCAATCGATCCTTTCTGTTGCAAAACGCGGGGCTGCGGCCAAAAAGGTGAACGTTTCAGCTATTGATAGGAACCTATTCTTTTTATTTTTGCCTCCGTACACAGCTCTGGTTTCAATTTCGACGAATTTTAGAAACGAAAAAATTCACGTGTGAACTTCATTAATTTAGTGCATGTAGCATTGACTATTGTAGTCAGTTATTTTGCTGCTCCAATAATCTTTCATTGCGATCTGTGAGTTAACATCATTCGCGATTTTTGGTCGTGCACCTATTGTTAGTTATGGTAAATTTTGGTAGCATTCTGTAATTGGCTAGCTTTGACTGGATAATATATTATTAATAAAATAAATCTTATGTTAGGAAGAACGGAGCGTTGCCGACCTCATGGGGATTTGGAGATTTTGGGGAAGGGGAAGGATTAGGCCTCCGGTAAACCATAACGCTGGGGTTGCTTCACGACGTTTTCTGTGAAGCCTAATACCACGGCCTTATACTCCAGTCGAGCCGACCCATTCGTGCCAAAACATGGATCTCCCATACTACAAGCTTCGAATTTTCTTCTTTAATCTCAAACCAATTAATCCTCTTTAAACCAAAAATGAGGTAACACTCAGTAATATTAATGCAATAGGGTAATTACTCTTCGATCAACCATTAATAACAATCGCTAGTTTCGCTGTAAGATCATTTTTTATAGACAGTTTGTTTAGTTCAGATTTTATCCACCTGCATATTTATATCTTGGTATTAGCAAAGGCATTCATGTGACATCATAGTACGAAGTTCTCCATGCGGTCATGTGCTTGTGTATGGGCGCGGAACATAACCTTTTATATGTAGGTATGTAATTAGGAGGGTTTAAGTGTCTTTATGTTACACTATGTAGGTAAACCATGCTTAGTCACAAATGGGTCCGGAGTAATACAGCAAACCTCCGTGAAACAACTGCAGCATAGTCTTTTACCGTGTGGATGAGGTTACAGCAGGTCCAAGATTTACCCTCCCTCGATCCTTAAATCTAAAAAATGTTATTCCCCAAAGGTCTGGCAACGCACTCGTAACTCCTTTAATGTAGAAGTTGTCAATAGGCGGCGCTTTTTTGCTTACTATCATATTATTATAATACGTCTGCAATCCATTAAAAAAATATGGAATTAAAATTTCTCTGTATACTTTTATATTCGCAAATCATTCCAAAACTTTTCAATGAAGACATTTCGAGACATTTCAAGACTGATGACATTTGATTTTTGATTTCAACTTTTCATTTCCCATTCGGTATAAATATCTTAGCGTTTACATGAACAATGTGCATAATCGTATAAACATCTCTACCTAACACGGCATAATGTTCAAATACACACTAGTGACAACTCAACAAACAAATAGACCAGTTCTCATAACAATTTATCGCCAAAATAAAATTGCAAGGCAAAACCCGTCTGTAACTAGTTCCGTATAATAGAGCAAGTATAGTAATATCATAGTTCAGTATTTTTACATCTGTGTGACCATCAACATGTGTTCTTTGTACAACTTTTTGTTTGTATTGTGCATCACCGTGTCTATCCGGACTGTGTTTAGTGCGGTGGCCTTACAATTACCTGAAGAAAAGCCTAAGGAAATGGGTGTGTATTCCAACTAAGTGTTTTGGGGAGAAGACTAGAGGTTTCATAATTTATGATGTTGTTTTTGTTGTGAAAAATTTACCTTAAATTAGGTTTTTTATTGATACGATTGAATTGTGACTGTATTGCGTTTAGTAAAAACAAGGAAGTAAAAAAAATTTAATTGGCAAAAATTTTAAATATGATAATATTTACTTCAACTTCCCAACACAGAGAAATATAATAATTAATTTTATTTACGCATAATTTTTCTTGGTCATGATTTTGTTATGAAAACGATGGCCGTGGACTGGTGTAGGTAAAATCGCAAACCAAAAAATAGTAGGTACCTATGTAAGAGAAAAATAGTATTATAGAAATTATAATCAACTAGAATTTCCAGCGGCTTCACCCGAGTTTATGGGATAAAAAGTACCCTATGTTATTTCAGACCACATAACAATAATATTTCTTTGGATCAGATTTCATTCAAATACATTCAGTAGGTTTTATGCAAATATAATAGTTACAAACATTCATCAATGCTTATTTTTGCGTTTATAATACTAGATAGTTTTAATCGTATCGATAGTTCAGGAGTTATCGTGGTAACGTAATAAGTAAGTACGAAAAAAGCATACCTATTTTAGATTCTCGATTTTTCGCGAGTTCCGCGGTATTGACCTCAAGGAACGACATTTTATCAAATTTGTAAACATTTAGACCTATGTATACAAAATCTAAATTATTCTAAATATTGACCTCTGATCTTGGACGATAATGAATAGAATTTTTTAGATTGGCGCCTTTCTGGAACAAGTTTTTAATCAGTCGTACCTGTCCCTAGTCAGCTCCGGATCTCTTAGCTATTTAATAGGTATAATATATTAAATTGGTAGCATTTTTATGAGTTATCATAAAGTGTTATTAGAACAAGTGCAAACAGCCTAATCCATATCAGTTTTTATTCTAGAAAGACAGTGAGTAGAAAAACGTGAGAGAGTTTTTTTCCTTGACCTGTTCTTTCACTAGCTCTGGGCCCTGTAGGGCCTCGTCTGTGATGGTCAATTGGCTCTTCAAGGCGCGCGTAGAACCCTAAGTGCCGAACGCCTTGGGATAGTATTGATGTCCTAAGGTATACACACGTAGCAGTTCATGATTAAGGGTAGGAGAGCAACACTTGCAGTGAGCAGTGAATGTACCGCGTCACAGTAAACTAACCTAACCTCCAAGGTCATCAACGCATCTGAAATCCCTATGGAGTTTCAAGCTATCGATGGGCGGTACACATTGCTTACCATCAGGTTGTTCGTTCGATAGTTTGCCGTCTTATCCCATAAAAATAACTGTTCCACCTGATAGACTTGAGACCTTGAGATAACTTAGAGGGCTGGTTTCACCATGTCTCTTTTGTCTCATTTGAACGTTGAATGTAATCTGTATAAACTATGTGCCAAATAAGTTTATCGGGAACTTGAATGGATATGGTCAGGCGCAAATTAGGTAGCTGAAGTTATCATAATTACCGACACTTCAGCTACCTAATTAGATAAATATGTATGCGCCTGACCATATCCATACAAGTTAGACCAGCTATAAACAGTAAGTATTATCAAAGTTTTCCTCGTAAAAATGCACATATTTATATTTTTCTGTGTCCAATTAACAATAAAAGTGACGGTGGAGTATTTATCTAGGTATGCCGTTTGTAAACAGATACGTCAACTTGTTTATTGTAAACGAGTTGCTTATAATATTTCCATATCAGTAAATGATGGGTAATTTTTATTTTAAATAATAGATTACTAGCTACTCTCGCATGGATTCACCCGCTGCTCGGCTGCATTTGATAGTTGCGTGAGGTTTTAAAACCTATATAGCCTTTATCGATAAATGGGCTTACGAAAACAAAAAAAAAAATATTAAATTGAAACCACAAATTCCGGAGATTCAAAACAAATAAACTCTACAGCTTTATAATATTAAGTATATATAGTATGTGTATTTAATTTTATCTTAATGTCCTAAACCTTTTATTTCGAATTTTTGTTTAGTTTCATGGGTTCTGTTTGTTTCCGTGTTTAGCAAAATATATTTTCTTTGTCTATGCTATTATGTAACTTGGTATGTTCTAAAACTTGGATTTTATATCTGGTCTCTTAAGTTTACAAAAAAATGTTTTTTTTTTTTAATTTATCTACCCTCATCTTCATTATGTTTTTCTCCTGTGTAGTGGCTGCGTTTAAAGACATACAGCTTCTTCACTCAGACATGGTACAACAATATGTGGATCACACAAAGAGTTATTCCGTGTAGGAATCAAAACCGCGATACGTTGCGCGATGGTGGGTTGTCCAGCCACGTTAGCTGGTCAACGGTGCAGTCAAAAGTGATTATCGATCATAGTCGATTATACACCATAAGTACATATGCTTCACTTTACTCTTTACCATGTTACCTATAAGATACAGGGTTGTATAAATAAATAAAATACACGTCAAGCCAATTAAAATTAAAAACAATCAATGATTATTAGTTTTTTCAATCAATTATTTTATTTTTTTTCCTTATATTAAAACTTCTTCAACACAACTCCAAGCTGCCATTGTTTTTGCAATCTCTAAAGTGTTTATCAAAGAAGTCAAAGGTTATCATTTAGCGTAGTCATTTATTCCTTAGTGCTTATTATTGCACTAGTGACAACTAGCATATTCGCACGTCATACAAAACAGTGTTCATAATGTTCAGATTAATAATCCTGACCACCGTTCTAGGCACCATACAAGGAGTTAAGGACTATGGAAACTATACAGCGGTTATGATGTATGCCGGCTTAGTAATCGATCCAGTGTGTGTCACAGTTGCTTTTAATGAATACGAAAACCAACCCAAGTGTGTGTGTTCAGATGGAAACGAAAGTATACTAATGGAAATTAAATTCATAGAACGTCTAGATCCTCATAAACAGATTGGAGATTCAAAGGCAGAGTTCGAACCGATGGTAGTGGTTGAAAATACTGACAATGTGGTTAATCTTATGAATGTTACTTGTGGATGTGCTGGTAGAGTGTTCAATGGTAGAAGCGTTGTGAGAAACGTTAATGATAACTACATGATAGCTTATGTGAGGAAAAATTCTGGAAGATTCGATGTGACATTCGTAGTTGCCAGAGTTTTGTTGGCTAAAAATCTGCCCAGTGCTTCAAAACTGCAGCAGGATATTTCACGCATTGCTGAACTTAGAGATCAAGTTGGAGCAAGATTGTGTACTAAAGAGATCCGTGATGATTTAATGAAGAACAACTGACGATCTCGTTCTACTCATTGGATCTGGTTTTTGGGATCGTACAACATATTTTTTCGGTCTTCTTATCTAGTTTTTTTATTATAAAACGAAGGCTAATGATAATTATTTGTATTGTAACTTGAAATAGATTTTATTAAAACTGATTATTGTAGCATTTTTTATTTCATTTTCAAACTACCTTTATTTGGTCATCAAAAAAACTTGAATGCTAGTTTAATACTAATGTGTACAGTGAATTTTACCTTGCCCTTATAAAAAAAACATTTTCATAAAATGAATATTAGATACATAGAACTCTTATCACTGCTACCATTAATATAAATACACAGATACTCAGAACTCTTATCACTGCTACCATTCATTACTAGTCTTGGCTAGAATTATATTTTCCTGGCTAACAGGAAAATAGTATCATTATTTATTAAAATACCCGTCAAATAAAAGAATGTGAGAGAGTCATGCTTCGGTAGGAAAGGGCCGGCTCAATCATAGTGTCACCACGTCCTCAAATAATATCGGCCTGAAACAACATCAATGTTTAATGTAGTTTTGCCTTTTGAATACGGTTTTTTTTATGTAAAAGGTCGGCAAACGAGCATACGAATTACCTGATGGTAAGCAATCAGCGCCGCCCATGTACACCCGCAACGTAGGAGTTACGTGTGCGTTGCCGAACTTTTAAGGCTTAGGGTTTTGGAGATTTAGGCATTGGGAGGGATCTGGGGAGGGGATGGATTGGGCCTAAGGTAACCTAACTCACACGGCGAAACACAACGCTGTGATTGTTTCACGCCGGTTTTCTGTGAGGCCGTGGTATCACTTCGGTCGAGCCGACGCTTGGCTCTCCCACACTTAAGGTTATAAGAGGTCCAATCCTTCCCGCCTCCCCTATCCCAATCCTCAAGTCACTAAAACCCCGTGTGCCCAAAATATTGACAAGGCTCTTGGAACTCCGCGCTCTTTGCTTACTATGCTTACAATGAGGTAATTCAAATGCTCGTTTACCACCAAATCAAATAAAACAAAAGAGCGACTGGGTGAACGAGTAATATACCTATTTACTTCTACATAAAAACTTTGCTTAGCTATCTGTTTTTGGCTTTATTATCCCTTTGTATTTTAATAGTTTTTTGGCTTGATATTTTGCCTGATCCTTTTTCATAGGTATATATCATACATATAGCTGTGTGCACTGTCCACAATGAATTCCACTAATGCTACCAATATCTTGAACTTATATTCTATTTTGAAATTTCAATTTCAAAAGTGCCTATTTATGGTATAGTCCAATAAAATATTTTGACTTTCACTTTGAGTTTTGACTTGACTTATTTTTTATCCTGATTATCATTGTCGTTACCGCCACTGGACATAGACCTATCCTTATCGATTGACATCATCAAAATAGTAATTAGAATAAATATTTCTATTTGTATAATATAGGTACTCGTATGATGGTGCATTACACCAGCTCTCGAGACCCATCTAGGTACTATCAGATACTAGTCTTTGCTACAAATTTAACATTTTGTTCAAATTCATTCTATTATTTGTAACCTTAAGTTTTTGATTTTACAGCTCATCTTGAAGGATGTTACGTTCTGGCCTTGAACCGTGTGTTGCCATACAACACGCCATTTTCACCACAAGACGGAGGGGCTTGTCTCCAGTTTAACTGCCGAAGAGATAATATAACTTCCATTTTTAGGTATTTATGATTATGTAATTAAAAAACCTAATCCTCACGACTATTCCCAGCCCCCATTTTTGGCGCCACGGCTTCCGCCTAGAGCAGGAGAAGAAACGGGGGGAGGGGATTGTATAGTCAGTATGAGTCTGACACTCTCTCCTGCCCGTTATTTGATGATTTACCCCTCACCAAAAAGCATCTATTTTATCGATCCTCAAATCTCTTTCTTGCAAAATACCGATCATGCCCTTGCAACTGCAACACTTCCGGTTTTGAAAGTGCCCATTAGAAGCACGAATTCCTTAACATCAGGTGATCCATCTGGATGTTTGTTGTCATCCAAATCCAAACTAATATTATAAATGCGAAAGCAACGCTGTCTTTCTGTCATATTTAGTACAGACATAGTTTGGAACTCCAGACTACCTGGGATAGTTTTTATACCAGAAATCTGAGGAAGTCACCATTCCACACGAACAAAGTCGCGGGCAAAAGCTGGTATGTCATAAAAAATCACTCTAAATTGTATCTGTACACTGCATAACTGATTTTAGGTAAATAGGTAATGTTTGAAAACACGTATTATTTGAAAACACGTATTATTTAGGGAATCACTTTATATGACTTTTTGAACTCTAGGTAACCCAAATAAAAATATTTTTTCAAAACAAAATACTGATCTGGTATTCTGTAAATTCAAAAATTAATGATATTGATAACAAGAAGCTATCAAAATAATATACATGTTATACATATATGTTGTGTAAACATTTAGGTAAGAATGATGATTTACATAAATTATAATTTCAATTTTGCCTTTTTATACAAACATTTTGATAAACAAATAGGTAGGTAAACTTTAGATCAATTTGCACAATTTAATTAATTATGTTATGTTAATAATTTTATTATTCGATAATCTTGTATGATATTGACTGCACGGTTTGCGCGGTGGCTGGGCAGCCAGTTGGCTGCTGTGCAACGTGTAGCGGGTTCGATTCCCGGCGCACGGAACTTTTGTGAACACTTTGTGTGATCTACAAATTGTTGTTCCGGGTCTGAGTGTGTTGTGTATGTGAAATTGTATGTTTTTAAACACACCCACAACACAGGAGAAAAAAATAAAAATACAGTACAGAGGCAACGTTTTTTTTTAAAAAAGAAAATCACAGTGACGGTTCCATACTTTTGGTCAAGCACATGAGATTATTGGAATTTTTGAAATCTTACTAGTCCTACTAATATGATAAATGTGAAAGTTTATGACAATATATGAATGTATGTTTGTTACTCTTTTACTCAAAAATGGCTGAACCGATTTAGTTGAAATTTGGTATGTACATAAATAGGTGATATATTAATACTTTAGTACTTTAATAAATAGGCTACTTTAAAATATTTATATCTACACGCATTCCTTCAAAATGTCAGAACATGGGTTTATAGATTGTATGCATTTTTTGTTAAACACCAACAAACAACTTATTATTATTAACTTATAATCAACATACCACGCGGGCGTAGCTGCGGGCGGAAGCTAATGTTTTATATTTTTTGTAATTTCAGTTGCGGTACTCTTCATGTGAGCGATAATGGTTGTGCTATAGTGTCGGGGGACAGATACCTGCCCTACCCAGACTGCTGCGATCGAGGCGTTTGTAATAGTATAAACCACAAATCCATTGTTACCTAGGAAAAGTTATTGTAATGCAATTTGTTGCCGTACTTGAGATATTTAATAATTACTTAAATTTTTATTCCTTAGTAACGGTTTGCTATGTTTTTATAATAACTATCGTGAGACATACTAAATTAACTAAAAATCGCGGGTTACTCACATGTAAATATTGAGAAAAGCTCTACTAGTTTCGAACCACAGAGGGGTTCTTCCTCATGAGCAGCGTGCGCGGACGCGGCGACGTCCCGCAGCCTACTGAGGCTGCTACTACTGTACTACTACCGTTTAGAAACTAAGGTTTGGGTTAGGTGCCTATTAAATGACTCTGAGTGCAGCTGTTAGTACCTATTGTTATTTAGTCCATAATAAATGTAAGCTGTAAGTAAAGTTAAGCGTTTTATTGGATGGCTCGTTTTTATCCCTTTTTTTTCAGGGGAAATTCATCAAATGACTTCTCCCGCCCAGGGTAAGCCGAGAGACAGTGTCAGACTCTTACTGACTAAAAACCCCCCCCGTTCATTCTCCGGCTCTGGGCCGAGGCCGCGGTGACTCATTGCGCTTAGCCCGCAACCCCGGCTGAACATCAGCTCTGTATGATCCGTCTGTGGTGGTCTATTGGATCTTTGAGGCGCGCGCGGAACGCTACGCGCCGTACGCTCGTTGGATCTTTGAGGCGCGCGCGGAACGCTACGCGCCGTACGCTCGGGGGAGCTGAAGAAGGAACAGGGTGGTATTCAGTCAGTCACATCACATCATCACACCATTACCCTACATGTGCCCACTGCTGAGCAAAGGCCTCTTCCCACAAGGAGAAGGTTTGAGCATTAATCACCGCACTTTCTCAATGCGGATTGGCGTTTTAAAACTTATAATGAGAAATTATAAGTCCAGGTTTCCTCACGATGTTTTCCTTCACTGTGTGTCAGTGGTGTCTAATAAATCATAGAAAGTACATGTCACTTGGAAAAAGCCACATTGGTACTTGCCAGGTTTCGAACCCGCACCCTCATGCAAGACAAGCGGGCGTTTCAACCCGTGGGCCACCACGTAGTCCACCATTTAGTCAGTTAGAGTTTGAAAACTCCTTTTTTATGTGTTAGATCGGCACTATACGGATACGAGCAGACGGATTACCTGATAGTAAGCAATCAGCGCCACCCATGAACACCCGCAACAGCAGTGGAGTTATGGGTGCATTGACAACCTTTTGGGAATTAAGTATTTGGAAAATTAAGGGATTGGGGAGGGGTTTGGGTAGGGGAAGGACTGGGCCTCCGGTAACCTGACTCACACGGCGAAACACAACGCTGTGGTTGTATCACGCCGGTTTTCTGTGAGACTGTGGTATCATTCCAGTCGAGGCGACCCATTCGTGCCGAAGCATGGCTCTCCTAAAGTTACGTCTTATAAAGGCAAGGTAAATCGTAAGATAAATATGCTCCATCAAAAAAAAAAAGGTTCTGTCCACGTGAAATCGCCTGTCTCTTCCGAGAAGTTTGTTTAAGTAATTAAAATGTAATAGTTTACTTACTTTCGCAAATAAATTTTGTATATACTAGGGCGCAAAACTAGCCAGTGAGCACCGAAAGAAGAACAACAAGAACTGCTTGCTTTTTTTGGGTGGTAAGGAGATT